TGTCGACGTCGCCATGATACCGCGCCCGCCCGGGTCACCGACTCGCACCTAAGTGTACCCGCGTCACCGCGCCGTGTGAGACGCAATGAATAACCCCAATGGTCAACGCCACCGCTGCCGCGCCGGCCGCGCCGGACTGGGTGGCCGCTCCGCACGCGAGCCTGCGCGCGCCAGCGCGGCCGCAGCGATGCGCCAGCCAGCGCCAAGCAGTCGTCATGGCTACAAACAGACGGTTTTGGGCCCATTAGGGCAGCATGCATACATACATACGTACATACATACAAACATATACATATATATATACACATATACATACATGCCGACATACATACATATCATTACACATACGTGTCTCCACATGTTGACACATATAGATGAACAGGTGTACTTATGTATATATATATATATGAATGTATATATACATATACATGTATTTATACATATTTATTGTACATACATGCATACAAGGTTTTTACTGCATATACACACGCAGGTTCCCCAAACAGTGCTCGCACCTAAGGGCTCCTGCTTTTTTTCTAAGGAACCGCTGTGGCGGTTGTGTCGCCGCGGTCGCCGCCGAGCCGCGCCTCGTCGTCTGGGCCTGCCTGCCGCTCTGGGGGTTATGTCGCGGCCGTCGCCGTCCCATCACTGCCCCAGCGCCGCCTCGTCGCCGCCCGTCATCTGGCCCTGTGCGTCGGTATCGGGGCTATGCTGTCGCCGTCGCCTCCCTGTCGCCGCCGCATGGATTGCGCAACGTAGACTGTGTAACGTGGACTGCGCAACATAAATTGCACCACGTGTACTGGCCCACGTGGATTGCACAACATATATTTCACCACGTACATTGCACAACTTAGATTGCATTTTGTAGATTGTACTTTCTTGAAGAGAATTCGGATCTCCCCCCTGCCCCCCGAACTGCTCCGCCTCCCCTGGGGATGTGCGGTTTTTGTATGGTCCTGCCCAACCGTTCATTTTGCATACCCATATCGTCCCAACCCACGCCCCTTCATTCATCCTCGCCCAATAGTACTATTCGCGCGCACTCTTTTATCGAAAACCTTCAATGTTCAAACAATCGGTTGCACAAGAATATGTCAGTCTCCACGCGCGCACGCCGTCGCGCGCGCGCATGGTGGAATGTTTCAAAAACCGTCGGTTGCACGGGTTTCAAGACCGACTGTCCCGAAATCATATAGAACGCCGAAGGGTTCGGCAACGTGGTTTTCAAGGAAGTGTGCGCGCGCGCCCTGCGGCCGGTCGGACCCCTCGCGCGCGCATGTCGCGATCAATCGAGCGCCCTTGCGCGCGTGCTCGGGGGAGTCCCAAATGACACCATGCGGGCCACTCGCGCGCGTCGGCCGCGCGAGCTTGCCGACATCCTTCCAACAACCGTCATTGCCGACACATGGGCACCATCATCATCGCCAAAATCAGCATCGGCACCGTCATCAACCTTGCCGTCTTTTTCTTTCTGCCTCGTCACCAACACCGCTACGATCATCATCCTGTCAGCCCTTGTCGAGGTCGCCATGATACCGCGCCCGCCCGAACTACCGACTCGCACTGAAGCGCTTGGGCGTCAACGCGGCCTGCGAGACGCCCTAGGGAGTGCCCAACGGTCAGCGCCACCGCGGCCGCGTTGGTCGCGCCAGACTAGCTGGCTGCTCTGCGCGCGAGCCTGCGCGCGCCAGCGCGGCCGCAGCGATGTGCCACCCAGCGCGAATCAGTCATCGCAAGGGTTTTGCAAACCACTTTGATCACGTCAAATTCGGCAAAGGGAACTGTACGGCGTAGATTGCACCACGTGTATCGTACCACATACACGGCACACCGTATATTGCGCCACACAGATTGCACCACATACAGTGCACAACATATGTTGCATCACTTAGGTTGCACCTCATATATAGCGCAGCTTATGTTGCACCACTTATGTTGCCCCCCACATACACTACACGCCATGCGACGTACATCGCACCACGTCTATATTTTTATACAGTCAACGATGCATGTATGTATGCATCTACGTGTAGGTATGTATGTACATGTATATGTATATGTATATGTATATGTATATGTACATACCATTATGTGTTGCACAAATGAGATGGACAACGAACACACGCACTGTCTATCGTACGCGCTGGCTAGCACACATACTTGTATGTACACATCTGTACACAACCATGTAGGTGTATCTATGTATGTATGTGTGTGTATATATATATATATTCACACACATATATATATCTGTATGTATGTGCACACACGTGTTCCCCAACCATTGCACGTAGAGGTCTTTACTTCTCTTCTAAGCGTTTGGGCCTGGGTGTCGGTCTGGCGGCCCCGTGCTCGCCGTCGCCGCTCTGTCGCCGCCCAGTCGCCGACTGTCGTCTGGGCCTGGGTGTCCGTCTGGCGGCTCCGTGGTCGCCGTCGCCGCCCGTCGTTTGAGTCTAGGTGTCGGTCTGGCGGCTTCGTGGTCGTCGTCGCCGTCCAATTTGTCCGATCTTAGAAAATAATAGGATTTCCTTCCCACCCCTCCAGATTTACCTCTTGGATTTAATCACCCCTCTTTTCGTATTGCAATTTACAAATGGTTTTGCCCCATCGTCCATCCTAAATATGAACTCGCATCATCCCCGCCAAACCGGTGACGGTTGCCCCCTTATCCTCTGCGCGCGCTCGTTTTTCAACAAATAGAAACTTTCAAACATCTCTTGGGCAAAAAAACTGGACGAAGTGCGCACGAGCGCGTCGTCGCGCGCGTGCCGAAATCCATTTCAAATCATAGGTTTCGTAAGGCTTTCAAAATCGGCTGTCACGAAAACATGCAAACACAGGTGTCATCGCAACAAGAATGCTCAAAACAAGCTTGCGCTCGCTTTCTAGCAGATGATACAGAAAACCATCGGTTTTGTAATATTCTCATACCATGTTACTAAATGGGCCTCTCGCGCGCGCGTCGAAATCATTCGAATGCCTTTGCAGGCGTGCTGTCACAAGCTTTATTGGGAACGAACGGGACGACGTGCACGTGCGCGCGTCGTCGTCGCGCGCGCGTGCCAGAATCTTTCAAAAACGGGTGTCCCGACACACACAAATGGTTTTGCAACGTCAGTTTTCAAAAAAGCCTGCGCGCGCGCTCTTTCGAATTTTAAAGATAACCGATCGTTCTCTCTGCCAAGCGGACCTCTCACGCCGTATGTCGAAGTCATCTGGGCGCCTTTGCGCGAATGCTGGGGGGGCACGATCCGTGTCAAATAAAACCATCCGGGCCATTCTCGCGCGTCGGCCGCGAGCGCATGTCGAACTCCTTCCAAAACCCTGATCACCGACGCGAGGACATCGTCATCGTGACCGGCGGGCGTAATCAACATCGGCGCCGTCATTGGCCTTGCCGTCGTCGTCGCCGCCATCGTCACCATCATCGTCGCTACTCTCATCATTGTGTGTACCGTTGTCGGCGTCGCCATGGTACCGCGCCCGCCCAAGTCACCGGCTCGCACTGAAGTGCCCCATGGGAAATGCCCGGCGGTCAACGCCACCGCGGCCGCGGAGATGCACCAGCCAACGCCAAGCACTCATCGCAGTCGCCGTCGCATGGGTTTTGCAAACCAAGCGGGTGGGTGGGTGGGATGAATGCGCGAGCAGTGGAGTTGACAACTCACTGCGAGCATAAGTGAAATTCACAGCATAATGTTCCCGTCTCTGCAAAAGGAGTTCGGATTTCCCCCAACCTGGGTTTACGGGCCTTCTTGTGATAGTACGATCTACACTTGATTAGGGCCCACTGTTTGTTTTAGATATGAACTTTACCAACCCATGCGGCCCCAGTGTCGCCGCCCCTGATCCTTGTCCAATAATGCTATGCGCACGCGCCCGTTTATCCAAACACGTCAGTTTTCAAACGCTCTTTGCAACTTTAAAAACAAAGTCGACACGCGCCCGTCGTCGCACCCGCATGCTGCACTTCTCCAAACATATTCGGTTTCGCAAGGATTTCAAGATCGAGGTTTCCGAGCACATATCAAGCAAGAGCGAAAGCAATGGCTTTGCAGCATGATTTGGCAACAACTCTGCGCGCGCCCTGGCTAATTCTTATGACAGCCATGTTCTTTCTCAAGATCTTCTTACACTTTGACCAGACGGGCCTTTCGCGCGCGAATGCTGAAATCAATCGAACGCCTTCTGCGCGCTTGCTGGGGGGGCACGATCTCTGCAAGAAATACCGCTCGGGCCGCTCGCCCGCGTCGGCCGCGCGCGCATGTCGAAATCCTTCCAACGCCCTCATCACCGACACGTTAACACCATCACCGTCATCGGCGCGGCCAGCATCGGCGCCGTCATTGGCCTTGCCGTCGTCATCGTCATCATCGTCACCATCATCGCTACTACCATCATCGCGTCTGCAATTGTCGACATCTCTATGATGCCTCGTCCTCCCCGTCGCTCCTCTCCCTCCTCACGCTCTGCTCCTAAGACGAAGCCAAGACTGGGACAACATCGGACTCGGACAAATCGGGGAGATTTGATATCTGGCATTTCTTGAATACGTCTCGGGCGCCGCGGCCGTTCCAAAGCGCTCTGGAACGCTGTTATAGCGTTCTGGAAACGCACTGGAGCGATTCATCCAGGTCCCAGGCCCGCCCGATCCCCCCTTTGCCCAACTCCTCCTCCTCCTCCTCCTCCTCCTCCTCCTCCTCCTCCTCTTCCTCTCCTCCTTCCCTTCTTCCTACTCGTCCTCATTCTCCTGCTCCTCCTCACTCCTCCTCCTCCTCCTGCTGCTGCTGATGCTGCACCTCCTCCTCCTCCTCCTCCTCCTCCTCCATCCTCCTCATCCTCTGGAACCCTCCAACGACTTGCACAATGACATTCAGAAGCTCCAGGATGCCTCTGACACACCTGCAAAGCTGACATGTCCGACCGATTCCGTGCAGCTCCCCCTCCTCAGGCCTGCCCTTCCCTCCTCCTCAGGCCTGCCCTCGTGGCCGGGGCGCCTGCCGTGGGCGCCCTTGAGGTCGCTGATCTCCTGCCGGAGCGGAGGGGGCAAGCACGGTTCAGCGTCGGGGGGCTCCCTCGTGTCCCTTCCCTCCTTCCCTTCCCCTCTCTGCCTCCCCCTCCCCTCACCACCCTTCTCCCAAGAGGACGGGGAAGAGCGCTAGGAAGAAGATAAATGACGAGGATCGACAACGGTCTGGAGAGGCACCAAACTACAGCTGGACTGCATCGTAACGCGTGCCCTAAACGGTCCAGAACTCGACCCTGGCGTTCAAGTCACGCAAACCCCAATGTCCTTTCCTCCCGTCTCTTCCGTAAACCATGCAACAGTGAAAGCCGTCACGTCGAGTCCCCCTCCCCCTCGTCCTCCTGTTCCTCCTCGTCCTCTTTTTCCTCCTCCTCCTCCTCCTCGTCCTCGTCCTCTTCCTCTGCCCTCTCCTCCACCTCTCCCTCATGCTGCTCCTCTCTCTCCACCTCCGCCTCCTTTCCCTGCCCCTCCTGCTCCTCGCAATCCTCCCTCTTCCCACTCCCTCTCTCCCCTTACGTCCCGATCCATCCCCCCAGGCCCCCCCCTTCTTTTTACCCTCCTCTTCCTCCTCCTCGTGCCCTTCCTCGTCCTATCCACGCCTATCCACCCTCCTGGTCGCATCCTCCGCTCTCTGGCCCACCCTCTTCCCGCGGGCGCCCGCGGTGAATGGAGCACGAGCTGTGCAAGACGACCCCTGCCACACGGAAGACTCTGGCCCCTGGGCGCCAGGAAACTCGCTCACGAGGGGCCCGCAGCTCGCACGGCTTCCACGGCTCCTCCACCTCCTCCTCCTCCTCCTCCTCCTCCTCCCTCCTCCCTCCTCCCTCCTCCCTCCTCCTCCTCCTCCTCCTCCTCCTCCTCCTCCTCCTCCTCCTCCTCCTCCTCCTCCTCCTCCTCCTCCTCCTCCTCCTCCTCCTCCTCCTCCTCCTCCCCCTCCCCCTCGGCTCCCGGCACTGGACTGCCCTCGGCTCCCGGAGCCCTCGGCGGGGAGGCCCTCGCCCGCCCCGCCCCCGACAGTCCTTCGCGCCCGGTGCGCCCTCTTCCCTGACGCGGTGCTCGCGCCCCACGGGCCAGCGGGCGGTGCGGCGTCCCTCATGTGGTGGTCGGCGGAGTCGCCGATCTGCTTCTCGATGAAGGCCAATCGCTCCTGCGAGCTCCTCCTCTTCCTGCTGCTCTTCCTCCTCCTCCTCCTCCTCCTCCTCCTCCTCCTCCTCTCCCTTCTCCTCCTCCCTCTCGTTTTCGCCCCTCTTCCTCCTCCTCCTCCTCCTTCCTCCTCCTTCTCCTCCTCGAAATCGTTGGCACGCGAAAAGCTGGCGAGCTGCAAGCTGGTACACGCTCCCTAACAACTGTACGCGCCGTTCCGGCCGCCACGGCAACGTCCCCCAATGCTTTTCGAACGCGACCTCTCTCCAATGTCAGCCAGCGTGGGCCCCAAACATTGGTTTCTTGCAGTCTCGTCGGCGTGACCTGGGTGGTGCAGTCAATGTGGTGGAATCTAGGTCGTGCAATCCATGTGGTGCAAGAACAGTGCCAACCAAAGCAATGTAAAGCAACGAGCTATGACGAGGCGGCGGCGGCGACAACACGGCGGCAGACCCGACACTGTAGCGCAAACGACGGGCAGCGATGAGGCGGCGAAGGTAACCACGAGACGGCGGTCCCGACGCGCAGGCCCAGACAACGGGCGTCGACGAGGCGGCGACGGCGACCTCATGGCCGCTAGACTCATGCGCAAGCCCAGGCGACGGGCGGCGACGAGGCGGCGACGGCGACCACATAGCCGCCATACCGACGCGCAGGCCCAGTTCCTTCGAACACACATGAGAACCCTTAAGTGCTCGCACTGTTTTGGGGAAAAAGGCTTCGAAGACTGCGCACGCTGAATGTTGTTTAGTGCGAGTGAGATTCCTGTCGGTCTCTTCGGGCCGTGGGGGGGGATGCGGGCAACATGAATACGTAATGAGGAGGAGGAGGAGGACGACGAGGAGGAGGAGGGGGAGAAAGGGGAGGAAAGGGAGGAGGGGGAGAAGGAGTGGAAGGGTATACGGATGAGGCGGATAATGACGATGATAATGATAGTGATGATGGTGATGATGCTGGTTGTGATAATGCTGACGCTGATGATGATGCTGCTGATGCTAATGCTGCTGATGATGATGAGGATGATGCTGATGTTGTTGATGATGATGCTGATGCTGATGATCATGGTGAGGAGAAATAAAAAGAAGAGGAGGAGGAGAACGCGGATGCTGAGACGGATGATGATGATGCTGATTATGATGATGATGATGATGATGATGCTGATGCTGCTGATGATGATGATGATGCTGATGATGCTGATGCTGATGATGCTGATGCTGATGATGCTGATGCTGATGCTGCTGCTGCTGCTGATGATGATGATGATGATGATGATGATGATGATGATGATGATGATGATGATGATGATGTCGATGATGCTGATGATGATGAGGAGGAGGAGGAGGAGGAGAAGGAAGGAGGACTGACGAGCAGGACTGGAGATGGGGGGTGCCAGGATAGGGAAGCGGGGGGGAGGAGGGGATGAGTAGTAGGCGGGCAAGGGGAGCGCCTTCGGCATCTCGAAGACGACGGAAGGAGGACCTTCTCTGCCACGCAAGTGGATGCCCGACGAGTGTCGCGGCCACTTCCAGGCAGGCAGCAGGGATACATGACAATGATGTCATGCTCATCGCCGTCGCCGTCGCGGTCACCGTCGCCGTCACCGTCGCCGTCGCCGTCGCCGTCGTCGCCGTCGTCGGCCTCAATTCCTTCGCCCTCCCGAGTCGCGGGCGGCCCACGCCCCGTCCTCCACTGACGCGTGGGCGCCCTTGATCTCCCCGACCTGCTTGAGGTGGTCGCTGTGGGCCTTCTTGATGTCGTTGAGCGCCTTCCAGCGGGCGGGCCCCGAGGTCGGTGTGTTCTGCATGGCTCTCCTGGCCTGGACGGGACGGGCGTGCGCGCGCACCGATCGTGGCGTCCGAGCTGGGCTCAGCTAGGGGCGCTTCGAGTACGGCGAAAAACAAGATTAGCCAGCGTGGGCCCCGAAACAATGTGTGTTCCTGGCGTTCTGTGTGGTGCAGTGCACGTTGTGCAATCTACGTTGTGTAATCTATGTGGTGCAACCTATGTTGTGCATGTCGCCCTGCTGAACTTGAAATTGTCAACCCCACTGCTCGCGCAAGCATCCCACCCACCCACCCGCAACCTGGCTTGCAATACCCATGCGGCGGCGATTGCGGTGAATGCTTGGGGTTGGCTGGTGCATCGCTGCGGCCGCACTAACCCGTGCATGCTCGCGCGCGCAGCGGCCAGCTAGTTTGGCGCGACCGACGCGGCCGCGGTGGCGCTTACCGCTGGGCACTTCCCAACGGGCACCTCAATGCGAGTCGGCGACTTGGGAGGGCGCGGTATCATGGCAAAACTTACAACGGTAAACGCGATTATGATAATAACGATGCTGCTGACGACGATGACGGCGGCCTCGCGTCGGTGATGAAGATGTTGGAACAAGTTCGACATGCGCGCGCGACCAACGCGCGAGAGTGGCCCGCACTGTATTATTTGACGCGGGTCGTACCCCCCAGCGCGCGCGCAAGGGTGTTCGAATGATTTCGACATGCGGCGCGGGAGGCCCGTTTGGCTGAATGTAACGAGCATGTTCAAACACTGGTGGTTTCTGAAGAATTCGCAAGAGCGCGAACGCAGGTTTTTTTTCGAACACGGATGTTGCATAACCATTTTTTTGTATTGTTAAAAAATATGTTTTCGGGACATTCGATTTTGTAACATCCTTACGGGACCTGAAGTATTTGACTGATTTTGGCCATGCGCGTGCGACGACGCGCGCGTGCACTTCGTCCCGTTTTTTGCAAGGTATCATTGCCACAGCACGCGCGCAATGGCGTTCGATCGACTCCGACATGCGCGCGCGAAAGGCCAGTTTGGTAGCGTGTTATGAACATGTTAAACAATCGATGGTTTTTTTGGAGCAAGGGCGCGAACGCAGGATTTAATGACAAATTTTGTTGCGAAGCCATGTGTGCCTGCACTCTGGTTTGCAAAACCCATGCGGCGGCGATTGCGAAGACTGCTTGGCGCTGCCTGGCGCATCGCTGCGGCCGCGCGGGCGACCCACGCGGCCGCTGTGGCGCTGACCACTGGGGACTCCCCAGCGCGTCTCGCAGGCCGCACTGACGCGTGGGCACTGCCGTGCGAATCGGTGACTCGGGCGGGCGCGGTATCATAGCGACGTCGACAACAGCAGACGCGATGATGATGATAGTAGCGGTGCTGGTGACGAAGATGACGGTGACGACGGCAAGGTCAATGACGGCGCCGATGCTGATCACGCCGACGACGATGAGGGTGTCAACGTTTCGGTGATGAACTTTTTGGAAGGATTTCGAAATGCGCGCGCCGCCGACGCGCGCGAGTGGCCCGTACCGTGTTATTTTACAGGGATCGTGCCGCCTCAGCACGCGCGCAAAAGCGTTCGAATGATTTCGACATTCTCGCGCGAGACGCCCATGTGGTCGCATGTGATGGACAGGTTGAGCAATTTGTTTTTCCCAAACCAGAGCTTGCCTCTGTAGGGGTCCAAGCGGAGTCACATGGTTTGGTGAAGTGGGTCGCCGATTTCAGTGGCCGGCCAAGGTGCCCGGGTGCCCGGGTGCCCGGGGGCCTGGGGGTGCCCGGGTGCCCGGTAGCCCTATAGTCCTGTAGCCTGATAGCCCTAGAGCCTTATAGCCCTATAATCGTAGGAACCCTATAGCCCTAGTAACCCTATAGCCCTATAGCTCTATAACACTATAGCCTGATAGCCCCATACCTTTATAACCCTATAGCGCTGTAGCCTTATAGCCCCTGAGCCTTATAAACCTATAGCCGTACAAATAATATCATTGTTTTTTCCAAGTCTCATTTTTTGTTTTCATAGCAGTTCGCAAGAACACGCGCGCAACTTCTTGTCCCCATTAAAAAGAAGACTCGTGGAAACTGGTGAAGTCTGATGAACGTGTGTGCGCGCATAGTATTCTTTGATTAAGATTAAGGGGGTGTGTCGGACCCAGCTTGGCAGGGGTGTTACGGGCCCATACTTAGAATGAGCGATGTTGCGGAATCATATGTAAATCGCGCATCCCCAAGGTGGACCGAAAACCCTGGGGGGTAGGAGTTGGGTGGGTGGATGGTAGGTCCTAATTCTTTTTTCCTTAGGAAGGAGAATGTTTGCTCTGAGCTCTATGTTGTGCAATCAATGTGGTGCGCATTCTAATGCGGTGCATTCGACGTAGTGCACAAGAGGTGGTGCAATCTATGCTGTGCGGTTCTGTGTGGTGCAATCTATGTGGTGCAACCTGTGTTGTGCAATGGGTGTGATGCAGCTTCAGCTATCCTTGCCGGACTTGAAGATGTAAATTCCAGTGCTCGCGTAATCACCCCACCCACCCACCCACCCACCTGCACCTTGATTTCCAAAACCCATGCGGTTGCGATTGCGGTTGCTGCTTGGCGCTGGCTGGCGCATCGCTGCGGCCGCGAAAACGACCGACACTGCCGCGGTGGCGCTGACCGCTGGGGGCTTTCCAGCGCGTCTCGCAAGCCGCGCTGACGCGTGGGCACTGCCGTGCGAATCGGTGACTCGGGCGGGCGCGGTATCACGGCGACGTCAACAACAGCAGACGCGATGATGATGATAGTAGCGGTGCTGGTGACGAAGATGACGGTGACGACGGCAAGGCCAATGACGGCGCAGACGCTGATCACGCCGACGACGATGAGGGTGTCAACGTTTCGGTGATGACGTTTTTGGAAGGATTTCGACATGCGCGCGCGGCCGACACGCGTGAGTGTCCCGCATTGCATTGCTTGACAAGGATCGTGCCGCTCCAAGACCCGCGCAAGGGCGTTCGAATAATTTCGAGATTCGATGAAGCATTTGGCAACGCGTATGTCTTTGTTTTTTTGTGTTTGTTTTATTTTTTTGTTTTTGATGAAGAGCTCGTAAGAGTGCGCGCGAACGAATCCCTGTGTTTGTGCAAGCGGACTCGTGGAAACTTGTGATATTTGATGAACGAGTGTGCGCACATAGTACTATTTGACGAGGGTTAGGGGGTGTGGCGAAACCCGTTTGGCTGGGATGTTTCGGATTCATACTTCGAATGAGCGATGTGGCAGAATCATCTGCAAACCGCACATCCCCAGGGTAGACCGATAACCCCCGGTTGGGTGGGTGGGTGGGTGGGCGGTAGGTCCTAGTTCCTTTTTTGAAAAATATATGCTGTGCACTCTATGCTTTGTAATCTATGTGGTAATCTATGCGATGCAATCGACGTCGTGTAATCTATGTGGTGCGCATATTATCTGGCCACGAGGCGGCAACGGCGGGAACGTAGCCCCCCAACCGACAAACCGGCCCAAAAGACGGGCAGCGACGAGGCGGGCCGGCGGGAATACAGCCGCCAGGCCGACAAACTGGCCCAGACGACGGGCGGCGACGAGGCGGCGACGGGGTGGCGACGGCCCGACATGTGCCCACTGGAGGCCGCAATGGCGAAACAACGCCAGTCGTACTTTTTCTCCTCCCCTCCTCCTCCCAAGAAGCTAGCATTGGGGGGGGGGGCAAAGGGGGGCTCGGTGACCAACCTCTAGCTTGGGTTTCGACCGCAGGCTTAACCCCTCGGGGGTTTTCTTTTTGGGTGGACGCTGCATTTTCGGCAAATTCCTTGCCTCTCGGGCGCCGCCTCTTCCCCCCCCCCCTCCCTCCTCCTTCCCCTCCTTCTCCTCATTATCCCGCTCCCCCTCCCCCCTCCCCCAATTCCCTCATCCACCTCCCCCTCGCCCTCCCCCCCCCCTCTCCCTCCCTTCACGGCTCCTCCGCCCCCCTCCCCCTCCCCGTACCCCTCCTTCTGTCCTCCTCCTCCTCCTCCTCCTCCCTCCTCCTACTTATCCTCCTACCCCTTCCTTCTCATCCTCTTCCCCGCTCTCTCTCTTTCCTTTTCCCCCTCTCCCTCCTCCTCCCTCTTTCCTTCCTCATCCTTCTCTTCTGCCTCCTCTCCCTCCTTTCGCTCTCTGATCTTTCCCCCTCCTCCTCCTCATTCCCCCCCCGCTGCCAGGCACAACCTTCGCGTGCTTGTCCGCGGAGTCGCCTATCTCCTGCTCGAGGTAGGCGACCCGCTCTGGCAACGAGGCGTAGTGCGTCTCCTGCTTGGCCGCATGTTATTTACAGTGTGTGCAACATGGGTGACGAACACATTGAAATATGATGTTTCTTTCTAACATCTGGCCGTCGCGATGACGACGCTGCGGGATGCTTCGTTTCCTTTCGAATCCAGATGCCGTCACGGACCCATCCGGCTCGGGAGGTTAGGCGCGAACGTGGGGTCGGGAGCTCTGGTCGTGGGCTCCGTCGTCGTCGTTTGCGTGGCATCGTATGCCGTACAGCAAATTCGTGTCGTGTCGACCCCGGCGTTGGTTTCTGACATCGCCGGGATCGTTCAACCGTGAATGATCGGGCGTTTACGAAACGTCAGCTCGTTCAGCATCGATCGATTCCGCGTCGCCGGCGGCGTTCAACGTTGAACGCCGGCGGCGGGATCGCCGCCTGTCGAAGCGACCCCGCCGTACGCTGCTGCCGTCTCTCCTCCTCCACCCTCAGCCTGAACCATGCTACAGGATATCGCGGCGGATTCGTTGTGGAACAAATTAAAAACGACATCTCCATCAATCAGTGCTTGGCCTGAAAAATGTCCTCGCGGAGATAGTCAGCACTTGGTACAACAAATGTGGCCGCCGATTTCGGCAAAACGGTGTGAATTCTTCGTGCCTGTTTGCAGGTCCTGGGATCCCAATGTTCCCCCAAGCGATGCTTGCACTGAAACGGCCGTCGCGGAGACTGTTGCAAATACTTCGCGAGCACTTGGACCTCCGATTTCGGTAGGTTTGCACGCATCGGCGCAGGACGCTCTTGGTCACAGGGCGGTCGCCTTCGACTGTTCCGATGGCAGTGTCCTGTTCTTTTGCCTGCGATGCCGCTGTGACAGTTCAGGAGCCTCGATCAGAGGCCTGGGCAGTGTGTGCCTGCCTCCGAAGGCCGCTGGACATCAGAGCTGGAGGTGCCTTTGCAAGGGTGTGCACCCGCGGTATGTGAAAGCGCAGCGCGGTGTCACGGTTGATATCGGACGTGTTATGGATTATTTCTACAAGGACGGGGGGGTCCCAGAAGCTTCGGAACACACCGTCTCTCCCCGTAGCTTGGCGTTGAAAAAAGCTGCGGTAGGCTTCGATGCTCCTTCCTCAGGCGACCTCTCGCCTGCGTTGGGCCCCCCCCGCTCCCGCCCGATCCGTGGTCTGACTCCTTTGTCGGTGTCGGAGAGGACGCTGCTGCTCTAGCCCTCTTCGGCGAAGCCGCTATGGGAGGAGGGGGCCCCGTCGTCGTCTTTGAACAGGGGTGGAGGGTCTGCTCCGTCGGCTCTGTCGAGGAGCAAAGAAGCCGAGGACGAAGCACGGCCTCGCGAGGCCCCTGGCTCTTCCGCTTCTGCCGCTGCAGCGCCCGCTCAAGCCGTTGCAGCCCTCGCTTTCGCCCGCGATCGCCTGCGCCCTGCAGCGGAAGGCTGCGACGGAGGCGAGCCGCTTTCAGATAGCTCAGACTAATATGTTTGAGCCCCCTGCAGCTTCACCCTCCGCAGCTGTACGCGGTTGCTCCTTGGGGCCTCTGGAGGCACGGCGTTGAGCCCCCCCAGCAAAAATCTCACTTTTCGGTAGGCGGCCCGGTTCCGGGTTCCCAATTCGCCTTGGTGACAAAATTCCCGGCGATGCTGAGTTCTTGAATGAAGCCGACTGGTGTGGAGCCTCTGGATGACCCCGGGCTGTTCCAGGGGTCCCCCAGCACAGAAGTCTCTCTTGGATAACTCCTGGAATTTCGGCCGTCTTCTCAGCGGGGACTCCTGCCCAAACGGGCCGAACGGGCCGGCGGCGCCGCAGTCTGAGAATCTAAAGCGAGGTACGGTCGTGGGGTCAAACCCCTCTGGATGTCTTTGTTGAGCGCCGTCGTGCGCTTCAGCATATTGGCGGAAAAACAATCGATGATATCAGCGCGTGGCCCCAACCAATAAAATCGTACCTCGAACGATTTTGGCTGTATATGTACAAGCGAACGTGCGTGCGTGTTTATTTGTTTGTTTGTGTGTCGGGCAATGGTTGTGCCATCTGTGGGCTAGCAACGGACGGCGCTGGCTGGCGACGGGCTGGTGCCGGCCAGCGACAACACCACGAACTCCGGGAAACAGCGTACTGTCTACGAACGGCGACAACGGATAAGCCACGCGAAATGCCATGGACTGGTGAACAACACCCAACTCTGGCTGGCGACGTCTAGTGATATCTCCGCCTACCATCGACTGGCTACCAATCGACTCACAAGGGCTGGTAGACCCGCTACCGACGGTCACCGTAAGTACCAGTACAGCGTGCCCTAGTCACTGCACGTCAGAAGTAGCCTTGGGTCGGGTATGTCCTCCAACAGGCTGATTTTGACGAAACATAAAATAGTCAAACCATACTGAAACATAGTCAAACATAGTCAAAACATCGTCCCCCGACTATTTTTTTGCCTCTTCTGGAATACTCCTCCTGTAGAGGGACATGCCCGACGGAGAAGTAGCCAGGTCACCTCGCTCCGCGCCCTCGCGAGGCCGCCATGGAGGAGGAGGAGGAGGAGGAGGAGGAGGAGGAGGAGGAGGAGGAGGAGGAGGAGGAGGAGGAGGAGGAGGAGGAGGAGGAGGGGGGAGGAAGGGGAGGGGGGGGAGGAGGAGGGATAGGGGGAGGAGGAGGGGGAGGAGGAGGAGGAGGAGGAGGATGAGGAGGGGGAGGAGGAGGGGGAGGACGAGGAGGCGGAGGGGGAGGGGCCACCTAACTCCGTGCCCTCGCGGGGCCACCCTGGACAGGGGCAAATTCCCAAAGGGCCCAGGCCGCGCGGCCCTCCGCGCCCCCGCGGGCGACCTGGCGTGCAGCAGGGGCTCGGCCACAAGAAACCTTCCACGAGAAGCCCAGCCCTTTGTGGGCGACGACCAATGGAGAGGAGACCTGCTGCCAAAGACTATCCAGATGTCTAACACATGCTCTAAACATGTCTTAAGCATGTCGAGATAGGTCTTGCACACTGTTCAAGCACTTTTCAAACGTTTTGAACACACGTTTACATGTTTAATTCGATGATCGGATTGTTTGGGTGTCCATTGTCATGTCATCCCTGAGACTCCAGGACGTCCATTGGTTTCTGGCGTGGGAGCGCCGCGCTGTCCATCGGGTGTCGATTGTCGTGGCATCCCCGAGACACCAGGACGTCCATTGGCTTCTGGCGTGGGAGCGCCGCGCGCTCTCCATCGGGCGTCGATGGCTTCCCCGAGGCACCAGGACGTCCATTGGTTTCTGGTGTGGGAGCGCCGCGCTGTCCATCGCAAAGCCATCGAAGCCCAGGAAACCCTGGGCGCCCGCTGGATGTGGACGCAGGCGCCCCTCGACCAGATCCGCATCAACTGGAACGCATCAAAGGCCGAAAGCCCACGCCTGCGTAGTGTCAGGAGCACTCGGAAGTAGCGGCCCTGCTTCTGGAGGAAGGCCTTCCTGGAGGCAAGCGGGGCGCTTCTTGGCACGGGACTCCGCTGCAGGCAAGCAGGAGCCCCGCCAGCGCAGGCGCCTCCTGTGGGAGATCGGAGCCAGGCCCCTCGGCCGGCCAATCCTGCAAGGGGGCGGCTGGTGAGCCCACGGCCCCCCACCGCTGCCCAGGGCCTCAGCCCGCCTGCGACTGCAAGGGCAGATCCACACCACCGTCAAGAGAAGCGCCTTTTCAAGGGGCTACTCTGAGGTCGGGCATGTCCTCCTACAGGCGGACTTTGGAGGCAAGATCAAACATAGCAAACAAAAATGCCCCCACATATCCAAAAATAGTCAAACATTCGTCCCCAGACTATTTTTGTACCATTCTTGAATATTCCTCCTGTGGAGGGACGTGCCCGACTCACGGCCACTCCCGGCGGCGCGCCGCTGAGGCAGAAGCCCACAGTCCGCACCAGGCCGGCCAGGGCCACGGCCATCTGGCCCACGTGGCGGGTGCCCGAAACCCTGGATCCCAGAACAATTTGAAGGGGCCCTGGGACACGCAAAAAAATAGATACGAATAACAGGATCCCCAATGTTTTCTCATATTTCCTGGGTTTTTGTCTTCCCCCCACTTCCCATATTTTTCCACATTTTCCAAGGAGTCGACGATTAATCCCGGGAAATCGAGAATCTCTGGTGAACGTTTTCTTGTTCGGCGCTTCCGCTTTAGGCGGAAGGGGGGGAGGGGGGGATCTGGCTCCAGACCTGTTCTTAATGCGACTGTTTGCAGCAATGCGTCTTATGGGGGAGGCCCCGCCTGCTTGAAACAGGTACCGAAAACAGCCAAGATCCACTCCATGGGGGCCCGCGCCGATCGGGAAAAGGTCACCTGAGATCCGGCGACTCTGGACGATGTCTCGAGCGCTGCGGCCCTCTCAGAGCGTTCCGAAACGCTCTGGAACGGATGTATCCTCGTCCTATAGAGGCATCCTAGATGGGGTCCGAGTAGATTGGGTCGGAGGATCGCGCTGCATCGCCGATACATCGCCGATGTATCGGCGATGATGCATCGGCGACATCGGCGATGCGGCACAGTCTTCCGACCCCATTTACTACGACCCCATCTAAGGCGCCTAGATGGACGATGATGTCTCGGGCGCTGCCCCTCTCAGAGCGATCCAGGACGCTCTGGAACGGATCTATCCTCGTCCTAGCCCAGTCCGAAGAAGACAGCTCCTTTGACCATCGAGCGCGGGGACCTCTCTGGAGCGTGCCCTGCGGTGTGGCCGCGGCGTCGGCACACGCTGGTCCTTCAGGCTCCCGACCTCCTTCGCGTGCTTGTCGTGGGACTTCTTCAAGGCCTCGATCTCCTTCCCCAGACCCCCTCGCGTTGTGACAAAATCACGATGGCAAATCTTTCGCTATCTTCGGCGGGCCTCGGGAACGTCAAAAAACGCCTCAGGACGAAGAACCGGTCCCGGGGAAGGGGTCCAGACTTCTGGGGGTCGACGCTGTGAAAAAATCACGACGTTGGGGATCTGGGATTCATGGGGGGCGGAGGAGGAGGAGGCGGAAGAGGAGGCGGAGGAGGAGCAGGAGGAGGAGGATGAGGAGGAAGAAGAGGAAGAGGAGGAGGAGGAGGAGGAGGAGGAGGAGGAGCAGGAGGAGGAGGAGGAGGAGGAGGAGGAGGAGGAGAGGAGAAGGAGGAGGAGCAGGGGGAGGAGGAGGAGGAGGAGGAGGAGGAGGATGAGGAGGAAAAGGAGGAGGAGGATGAGGAGGAGGAGGGAGATGAGGAGGAGGGGGAGGAGGAGCAGGAAGAGGAAGAGAAGGAGGCAAGGGAGGAGGAGGCTCTGGGTTTAGGGGGGGGTCGGCACGGGGAGGCTTAGACGTCCCGCCTCGGCCGTGCACGGGAGAGGTCATGGCCAGGGGGCACAGCGCGAGGGGGAGGTCGGGGGACCAGTGGGCGAGGGAAGCTCGTCGCTGCTGCTGCCGCTGCTGGGTCTCCCCTGTCGTCTGACGCTTCGCACAAGTGCCCGCTCCGCTGCGCTGCCGTCCTGCCTCTCTGGCTCCCGACAGGCTCCTCGGATGCTCCCCGTTCCTCATAGGAAACTCCGTCCTTCCTGCTGGCGCCGACAATGGTGCTGGTGGTGGTGGTGGTGGTGCTTCTTTTCCTCCTCCGCTTCCGACGACCCCTCGTCCTTCTTACGCCGTGTCTCTCGCCGTGCCTCTGGCTTCTAACCGCTGCCCACGGTCCGCGATGTGCTGGGCGTGCTTGTCCGCGGAGTCGCCTGACCACCGGCAATTCGTAGCGAACCCAGGGGGGCAACGCGAGGCAGGCGGGGCAAAGCAAAGCGGTCGGTGAAGGGCTCAACCCTCGTGGTTCTTAAACGTGTCCTTAGGGGGCAGTCAAACCAATATGGGCTCACCCAACCAACCTTCCATGTCATCGCCAAGGTTGGAAGCAAACATGAAGCGGTGTGATCTTGGTTACAAGGCCGTCGAAGATCCCACCCACAGATAGTGCTCGTGAGTGCACACAAGCGTGCACGCATGCACACGCGAGCGCGCATGCATGGGAGCATGCGTAAAGCGCTACACGCAAATCGACTCACTCTCGAATGAGCATGCACATTTACACCCAAACGCATACACACACGCTCTCTCTCTCTCTCTCTCTCTCCCTCTCCATTGCAAACTCGCACAAGCACGCACAAAATATTACGCAAGCGGACAAAGGAGCATGAACACAACGGCGGCCACGCTTTTCCTCTAGCGCGGCGATGGGTCGCAAACACAGGCGTCAACGAAGACGGGGCACGGCCCCGAGAGGTGTGCCTAAGGGTGAAATAAATCTGCGTGGTGTTTTTGCGTAGTGTTTTTGCGTGGTGTTTTTCGCGTAGTGTTTTTTTCTCGTAGTGTGTTTGCGTAGTATTTGATTGCGCAGTGTTTTCGCGTAGTGTGTGTGCGTAGCGCATCTGCGTAGTGTTTTTGCGTAGTGTGTTTGCGTCGCGTACTCGCGTCGTGTGTGTGTGTGTGTGTGTGTGTGCTGAGTGCGTTTGCGTAGTGTATTCGCGTAGTGTATTTGCGTCGTGTATTTGCGTCTTTTATGTGCTGAGTGCGTTTGCGTAGTGGATTGGCGTAGTGTGTTGGCGTAGTGTATTTGCGTAGTGTTTTTGCGTAGTGCTTTCGCGTAGTGATGTTGCGTAGTGTTTTTGCGTAGTGTTTTTCGCGCAGTGCTTTTGCGTAGTGTATTTGGGGCAGTGTTTTTGTGTAGTGTTTTTTAGCGTAGTGTTTTCGCGTAGTGTGTTCCCGTAGCGCATCTGCGTAGTGTTTTTGCGTAGTGTTTTTGCGGCGTGTATTCGCGTCGTGTGTGTGCTGAGTGCGCTTGCGTAGTGTATTGTGGTAGTGTATTTGCGTAGTGCATTTGCGTAGTGTATTTGCGCCTTGTATGTGCTGAGTGCGTTTGCGCAGTGTATTGGCGTAGTGTGTTGGCGTAGTGTATTTGCGTAGTGTTTTTGCATAGTGCCTTTGCGTAGTGATTTTGCGTAGTGTTTTTGCGTCGCGTTTTTTTGCGTAGTGTGTTTGCGTAGTGTTTTTGCGTAGTGTTTTTTGCGTAGTGGTTTCGCGTAGTGTTTTCGCGTAGTGTGTCTTGGCGTGGTGTTTCTGCGTAGTGTATTTGCGTAGCGCATCTGCGTAGTGTTGTTGCGTGGCGTATTCGCGTCGTGTATTTGCGTCGTGTGTGTGTGTGTGTGTGTGTGCTGAGTGCGTTTGCGTAATGTGTTGGCGTAGCGTATTTGCGTCGTGTATGTGCTGAGTGCGTTTGCGTAGTGTATTGGCGTAGTGTATTGGCGTAGTGTCTTTGCGTAGTGTTTTTCGCGCAGTGCGTTTGCGTGGTGATTTTGCGTAGTGTTTTTGCGTTGTGTTTCTTGCGTAGCGTATTTGCGTAGTGTTTTTGCGTAGTGTTTTCTGCGCAGTGTATTCGCGTAGTGTATTCGCGTAGCGCATCTGCGTAGTGTTGTTGCGTAAATGTTTTTGCGTCGTGTATTTGCGTCGTGTATGTGCTGAGTGCGCTTGCGTAGTGTATTGGCGTAGTGTATCGGCGTAGTGTATTTGCGTCGTGTATGTGCTGAGTGCGTTTGCGTAGTGTGTTGGCGTAGTGTATTCGCGTAATGTATCTGCGTAGTGCTTTTACGTAGTGATTTTGCGTAGTGTTTTTGCGTAATGTTTTCGCGTGGATGTTTCTCGCGTAGTGTTTGTCGAGTGATGTTTTCGCGTAGAGCTTTTGCGTAGTGTTTTGCGTAGTGTACTCGCGTGGGGTATATGCGTAGTGTACTGGCGTAGTGTATTTGTGTAAGGTGTACCTGCGTAGTGTATTTGCGTAGTGCGTTTGCGTAGTGTATTTGCGAAACGTTTTCGCGTGAATGTTTCTTGCGTAGCGTTCGTTGCGTACTGTTCATCGCGTAGTGTTCTCTCGTAGTGTTGTTGCGTAGTGTTTTTTTGAGTAGTGTTGTTGCGTATTTTTTTGCGTAGCGTTTCTGCGAAGTGTTTTTGCGTAGAGTGTTTGCGTAGTGCGTTTGCGTAGCGTATAGGCGTAGTGTATTTGCGTAGTGCGTTTGCGCGGTGTATCTGCGTAATGTTTTCGCGTGAATGTTTTCTGGCGCAGTGTTGCTTGCGAAGACAAGGTTCGTTAAACCACCTACGCCCAGTGGGCTGGTGTGACAAAGTTTCTTAAACCACCTACGTAGTGTTTTTACGTAGTGTTTTTTTTTCTGCGTAGTGTTTTTACGTAGTTTTTTTTGTTCCCCCCCCCGTAAAAAAAACGTAGTGTTTTTTATTCCACCTTGAAAATTTATATTTCACCATTAAAATTTTGATTTCACCATTAACCACAACCGTCTGAAAAACTACTTGGCCACCTGATGCGGAACGTGCGCTTGACGGGTGGCCATGACGTCAGTCAAGCAGTGAAGCGAGATCTCCGAACGGTCTAGACAAGTGCTCGGCGGCGAGTGAGGGAGGGAAATCAGAATTCGGCGGTATTTCTTCTCGGAAGCCCCCCAAGCCTTCTGTCTGAGAAGTCTTCTGTCTTCGAGGAAGGCTCAGGAAACTTCTCAGAAAGCCCGGGAACGTCCGAGCCTTCTGAGAAGGCCTTCTCCTTCTCAGTTCCCCGCCTCGCTCGCCGCTGAAGAGTCCGTGCAGGAATAGACGGCGCCAGAGCAAAAACGAGAAACGAAACAGCACAATCCCCGACCACCAACAAAAAACGCAGGGGAGGGCGAGGAGCGGAGACGGAAGGGCCGACCTGGATGAACAAAAACACCGACAAGGAGCTGAAGATCTGCAGAAGGGCGGGCTGGAGGACACGACGCGCCTTCACGAGCTCACTGCATACACGCTCCCACGCGGAAGCTCGCACACGCATGCTCTCTTGCAATTCGCGCACCTGCGCAACGTATACACGTCTGTACGCAATGACACACACACACACATATAACCGCACTTGCACACAAACCCGCCACGGACGCCAAACACACACACACAAACGCGCATGCAAACCCATTCCATGCATGAGCGACGAACCGCTGTGTCCTGCATGCGAGTGGTGTACGGTGTGAGCAGTGCCAATGTGGTCCAGTGCAGTGGCAAGGACGAGGTAAGGAACGGCAGGCGACGCACACACAGACACACAGACTCAGACACACAGACACACGCGGACGCACACAGACACACACATGAACACAGAGACACACACAGACACACACACAGACGCAGACACAGACACATACACAGAGACACACACAGACACACACACACAGACACAGACACAGACACAGACACAGACACAGACACACACAGGCACACACAGACACACACACACAGACACACTCTGACTCATACACACAAACACCACACACACTCAGAAAGACACATCTATAGGCATACACACAAGCACACAACACAAGACACACAACACACACAACACAACAACACACAACACACAACGCACACACACACACACACCCGACCACTCACCCACCCACCCACCCGCCCACGCACGCACGCACGCACACACACACACACGCACACACACACGCACACACGCACAAGCACACACGACATGCACAACCATACACAACGCACATTGTGGCTCAAGCCTGCCCTGGGCGCCAGGCAGGTGGTGCGCGGCGTGCCGCTCCCTGCAGGGTCCCGTCGCCTCGGCGGGCGCAGACAACATCCCCCGTGCCGCGGCAGCCTGGGGCGGTGGTGGCTGACGCACCGCGGCCGGGGCGTCGCGGCCGCCGCTGCGGCCGCGGCCCGAGCCGCCGAGAGCGCCTGCCGCGCCGCGGCGGCGCCGAACCCCTGCCGCCAGCGGGCCACGCCTCTCGCTGCGCCGCCCGCGGCGGCAAGCGGGCGCCCTGCCGGGCGGCAGCGGGGCCGGGCTGCCTGGCTGGCGACGGGCAGCTCGGGGCACGGAGGTGGCCGCCTGGCTGCCGCGGAGCGCGGCGCTCGAGACGGCCGTGGGCGCGGCCACGCCCCGCGACGGCCTCTCGGGCCCCGCTGCCGCGGCACGGGGCGCTCGGCCGCCCGCCCGAGGCCTCCCTCGGCGCCGCATCCTCCGGCACCGGCTCGGAGCCCGGCCCCGCCTCGCCGTCCGAGCCCATCGGCCAGGGGCCACGCGGCGCGGAGCTGCGCCGGGGGACGGGCCCGCTCGCGGAGGTGCCGCCCTGCCCGGGGCCGGACGCGGTGGCCGTGCCCAGGCTCTTCGTCGGGGGCGCCGAGGGCACGGACCAGGTCCCCGTCGGCGCTGCTGGACGCGGCTGGCGCCCGGAGGCGGACGTCGCGACCCGGCGCCCAGGCCTCCGAGCCTTGCGAGGTGCTTGACGTGGCCGAAGCTGTCTCCGCGGCGGCGGCTGCGAGCGGCGTTCGAGTGGCCTCCGACGACGCTGACGTTCCCTTCGCGGGCGTGGTTCTGGCCTCGACGATGGCGGTGGACGAAGGAGCCCGACCGGCTCGGAGTTCCGACCTGCGATGCCGTGCGCACCAATCGCATGCAGGAGTAGGTGATGGAGGAGACGGAGGAGCATGCCGAGGCTTGGCGGCGAGCCCAGGGGGGAAGTGAGAAAGAGGAGTCCTTCTCAGCAGGCTCGGAAGTCCCCCGGCCTTGTGAGAAGTTTTCTACGCCCTCCCCGAAGACGGACGCAACAAACTTCTCAGAAGGCGCGAGGGCCTCTGAGAAGCCCCGCCGCCTTCTGAGAAGGCCTTCTCCTTCCCACTCCCCCCCCATCGCTCGCCGCCGAGAGGCGACGTGCCTCGCGCGCCGGGCGGCGCCTTCCCCCTGCCCGCCGCCCTGCCGATGCGGCTCCCCTACCTCGCGCGGTGTGCGCCGCCTGCTTGCTCGGCTCTGCGGGCCCCGCCGCCGCGCGCGGGGCCGCGGCGCCCGAGGAGGTCGCCGGCCCCGGGTCGTCGAGGAGGAGGAGGAGGAGGAGGAGGAGGGTGAGGAGGAGGAGGAGGAGGAGGAGGAGGAGGAGGAGGAGGAGGGGGAGGAGGAGGAGGAGGGTGAGGAGGAGGAGGAGGAGAAGGAAGGGGGAGGAGGAGGAGGAGGAGGAGGAGGAGGAGGCCGAGGCCTCGCCGGACGCCGTGTCCGAGGTGCTGGCCTCGGGGTCCGACGGCGAGCCCCCGCCCGGCGCCGGCCGGCCACGGGGGCCGTGCGGAGCCCGCGGGCGCCTCGCGCCCCACGCCCAGGCCGGCGTGCAGCGCCCCGTGGAGGGCCCCCCTCGGGGGGGGGGTGGCCGCGGTGCGAGGGGCCCACAGGCGGCGAGCGAGAGGGGGAAGCGAGGAGGAGAGGGCCTTCCCAGAAGGCGGCGGCGGCGGGGCTTCTCAAATGCCGTCGCGCCTTCTGAGGAGTTTCCAGCGTCTTCGGGGAAGGCTTGGCTTCGAAGACTTCTCGGAAGGCCGGGGGACTTCTGAGCCTTCTGAGGAAGCCCGCCCCTTCTCACTTCCCCCCTGGGCTTGCCGCCGAGCCAATGCTGGAGCCGGCATCGTGGACCACGAGGACTGCGAGGATGGCAAGGAGTGCCTCGACTCTGACGCTGCCGCAGCCCCCCTCCGACGTCCATGCGTGTGGTGAGTCCGACGTACTGGCAAGGTGGCGGAGAGTGTGTGTAATCGCTTGTTGATGCAATGATTTCTACCTTGCGTCCGTCAACAGGACACTGCGCCAGAAGGGAGCGCGATTGGACCGCTGTCGAGGTCGCGACATGGGTCGAGCCGTGGGCACTCGGCCCCATCCGGACAATCCCAGCCTCGATGGAGGATTGAGTGCTTGGTTCAGTGGGCTATTTCTCAGACGCTTGGTGCGCTCACTCCCGTGGGTGCGCACGCTGACGGGCGTTCGTTCGTGAAAAACCGTGCGTGCAAGCGCGCGCGCGAAAACGCACGCACGCGAACAGATGCGCACCGGGCAGATGCGGCATCGTCGCTCCGCTTCTTCAGTCCGCCTCTGCTCCATCGCCGCCTTCGCACGGCTTCTCGCCAGCCGCGCGCCCCAGGTCGAAGCCGAGGCGAGCCTGAGCCGACCTCGTGACCGACCGACCTGCTCAGACGGAGCCAGGACGAGGATCAAGTCGGAGGATGATACATTGAGAATCTCTGACATCCGTCGGCTCTGGAAAACGAAACGGGCGCCGCGGCCTTCTCAAAACATTCAGGAACGCTCTGAGAGCGTTCCGGAACGTTCTGAGAGCGTCCCCCCCTCCATCTCCTCTCTCTTCCTTGTCCCCTACTCCTCTCCCTCCTCCTCCTCTCCTCCTCTCCCCTCCTTCCTCCTCTCCCTCCTCCCCCTCCTCCTCCTCCTCTCCTCCCTCCTCTCCCTCCTCCCTCCTCTCTCCCTCCGCCTCCTCCTCCCTCCTCCTCCTCCTCCTTCTCTTTTCTGGAACGGATTGATGATTGATCCTCGTTCTAGCCCTGCCCAACAAGTGCCACAAGGGAGCGGGGTCCTGAAAGAGATGGGCCCTGAACCCTGGGCTCTCCCTAGGACAGGCTCTTCGTCAGTCGTTTGCTGCAGGGGCCCAGGAAGGGCCTAAGGAGGCCGAAGACGCTGGACAGCCTCAGGACCCCTTCCCTCCAGGAGGGTAGCAAAGATAGCACCAGGACCTGGACATCTACATTCCAGTCAAGGCCTTACGCAATCTGGATTAGTCTATATGTATGGTCGGGGGGACGTAAGACTCAGGATCGGGGGCCTTCAGAAAAGTGGCGAGACCCAATTTTTGGAATATGGCGCGAGCTCCTGCCGCAAACATTCCAGGAAGACTCGGCCGTCGCAAATTCGGGACGGGCCCGTCAACGCGCGCA